AGTATTCGAACCGACAACCATCCGCGTCCTAAGCGAGCGCTCTACCAACTGAGCCAATGATGAGGGTTTTGCATAGGTGAGGCTTATATCCGATGTGGCTCTCACACAGAAACATATGGCTGGCAGAGGGAAAAGGGTTCCGTCGACTAGATTCGAACCAGCGACTGGGTGCGTACCGGCCCATCACATCAAATGTCGCACTGCTGTAAAGTCATGGCCAGCGGAGTGCGAAAATTATCACGATTATCACCCGACCGAGATTCGAACCAGAGACCAGGTTCATGGCGGGCCCGGACGCTACCGACTTGACCACGACGGTACGATACAGAGCACTACTTTCAGCGGCATCTTGATCTAAGCTGTGACCGACGCCCGAAGACACTTTTGGCCAGCAGAGCAGGGAAAATGACCGTGGATGAGATTCGAACTACCGACTACCCGCATGATCTGCCAACGATCACGCTTTAACACGCTCGGCTGCCAGCTTGCTCCTACGGGGCCGAGGTCTGAGCTCGGTCATGCCTAACGGGAGACAAAAAGCGACAAAGAAAAAATTTGCCCCGCCCGGGAGTTGATCTTAGGGCCAACAACTTTGGTTCGGATGAATCTGCATGCCGTCGTCATGTCGACTGTAGCTACGCCTGTTTAACTACAAAAGGGGCGTGTGGCTAGTGGCGTCGGACATCGTATGTTGCCCCATTTGTGTCCATAAACAGGGATGTGTCTACTACCACTTGTCGCCGCGCCATGAGTTTTCGCTTGGACGCCTGCGAGGTAGGCCACGGGAATACGCGGCAGCTCGATGGATTGCCTACGCCTTGGCGTGCAGGCGCGCAAGGAGGCCGCCCGCCTCCCGCCACCTCCTCCGCTTCCCTCTCTCTCTTCGCGCCTATTCTCCTGGACACCCAGCACATAAACAAGGTAGACGCACATTAAAACCGTGTGAAGCTGAGCTAAATGTGCGTCTACCTTGGCCTGCGGCGTGCTAAAATTGAAATGTTTTCGCGATTTTGGTTGGCATGCCTGTCCACCTCACATCCCTCGTCTCACGCCAGGCGCCTCACTTCACGCCGTCTTCCGGGCGGTCTCCCCTTGCGCTTCCCGACAGAGCTGAGCATTTAATGTTAAAGTTTAATTTCAAGTTCAATTTAAGCTCAGCAATAATATGTACTACTTATATCTCTCGGTAAATTGCCCCGAAGCTTTAGACGTGAATCACCTCTGTGTGGTCGGCAGTAAAAATACCTTCAAGAGGCGCGATCATTTTACCTTCAAAATTATTATATTTAAAAAAAAAAAATCAAAAATGTGGGCCGGCGGAAAAGTTCACAACCGCATGCAGCTTCATCCGAACCAAAACTGTCGGCCCTGAGATCAACTCCCGGACGATTTTAGCTACAACTGTTTAGCTACAAAAGGGGCGTGTGGCTTGGTGGTGTCGGATATAATGTGTTGCCCAAAAAAGAATCTCTTGCAATCTTTTTCAAAAATAGTTTTCCGGATAATTAAAATCCCTATCCTCCACTACTTTGGCTTCGGACAGTACCTCGTCGTGATTCAATTGGATCCTGAGCTGCTTCAGCCCGCTGATGCGCTGCAGTCCCGGCCCCGTGCAGTTCGCGCAGCACAGCTCGAGATCGCCCTGCAACGCCGTCACGTTCACGGACAGCCGCTGGAGCGACCTGGCGCACGAGTCCAGGAGCGGCAGCAGCTGAGACGAGTCGAGCCTCACGTACATCAGAGACCGACTGCGGGAAAGTCGACGAGGTTCGGTGTCAACAGGCAATCAATGATGCACATGCGGGGTGGGGATCTATCGAAGGGTACTTCACTCCAGAAAAAGGGGTGTACGGATTTTGAGAGAGCCGAGATTCACATCTCGCCGGGAGC